CCCCCCCCCCCCCCCCCCCCCCTGCCCCTGGTTCTAATTCCGTCCTCCCTGCCATCTTGCAGCTCATCTGCCTGAGCGCGACCCTGCCGAACATCGAATGCTTGGCCAAGTGGCTAGATGCCTCGCTGTATCGAACGGCGTATCGACCGGTGGAGCTCCGTCATTTCGTCTGCCAGGGGAGGGCGGTGTACAGGCCAACCCGAATACGCGGTACCGGGGGGGGGGCGGAGGGGGGAGATGACGAAGGGACCCTTGAAAAGGCGAGTGGTCCAAACGTATGCATGGAGCGAGCGTTGGATCCAATACTACTTCANGGGGGGGGGGGGGGGGGGGGGGGGGGGGGGGCGGAGGGGGGAGATGACGAAGGGACCCTTGAAAAGGCGAGTGGTCCAAACGTATGCATGGAGCGAGCGTTGGATCCAATACTACTTCATCTTTCATTCCCAGAGGTCAACATATTAGTAATTTTCGAAAGCCGGGTCCTTTTTGTCTATACCGTACCTGCAGCTCAACGACACGCTTGAACTGCCAACCTAGCCAGCCGCTTGGCCACGGAGTTTCGTTGTTGCAGGGTTTGTTCATGGTTCGGAAAGTAGACGAGCACCATGTATTTCGGTTGTGTGTGTGGTCTCTGGAGGGGGGGGCGCTTGAGCACCATCGTCTCCAAACGGTGGCACGCGTCAAGGGGGCGCCAGGCTTAAGGCTGCCTCGTTACGAAACGAAAACTTGTTTGTTCGCCTCGGTGAAACCGTTGTTGGGACTAGGTGGCTGGAGGGGACATCAAAAGGGTCGGAGGAACGTCGCCCAGTGCTGACCCCGATGGGGTGGTGGATCTTGTCAAGGTGTGTTTTTCGATACACTACACGCGTCGCACGTACGTGCCGAATGGCATTAGTAAGATGTGACATACAGCAATAGTACCCTGTCTACGTTAGCGGGCGCGTCCGTCGTGTTCATAGACTGGTGGACATCGGACATCCTTGTCTTGCGTGGTGTGCAGTCCATGGAGTGAGGGAAATAGTTGCTGTCGTGATGCGATAAATAGTTTCAAGTGCGGGATAAGTTTAAACACAACGAGTGACCTCTCGAAATGCGAAGAAAGACAGGATGCGAGCGTCTTATCGTACTACATCAAGAGTTCAAACGAAATGACCAACACGAAGTACGGGTCTGCTTATTTCGCGTCGCTCGCAAACCTCAAGCGCAGCAAGGTGGTCAATGGTCGAAATCTTCAAGTATATATCTCAACGAAAACTTGCGCGCGTAAAGAGATCGCCCCGCATTTCAGATTCATCTCACCCCTTCCTTTTCGCCACACCTCGGCCGGCCGTCGTATGGACTGCTCTGTCCTGTTTCACAGTTCAACTCCCCTGCGTCCTGGACTGTTTTTCGTCTGATGCCGCGCATTGTCGTTCACCGTGTCATGTATCATGTCAAAGGATGCTCTCGCAAGAGATATGTCTGTGTTAGTCTTCTGCAGCACCAAGAAGTGGTGCCAACAAACGGCTACCCTGCTCGCGAAGGAGGTTCTGTCCGACCGAAATCGAGCAGCGGTAAGGGCAGCCACTGTCGCACCAGCGGCGGCGGGAAAGAGAAGCTATGTCAACGGCGACGGTAGTGGAACTGATGGCAGGAGCAAGGGGAAAGCCGCCGGTTTAACGGGCTTCGTGCCGGCGAAGTCTATGGCATTAGCAGCAACAGCAGCAGCAGGTGCAGCGGTGGAGAGCACGAAGTCGCCGCACCCTAGAGCACGCGAGGGCACGGCTGCGGAGCAGGGCGCCGGGGCAACGGCAACAACAACCGCGCAGGAAGGCAGCAAAGTCACCGAGCGCCTTAGAGGGGCGTCGTCTCCCACCACCGCTGACGACGTCCGAGAGAAGTTGAGGCAGACGCCGGTGGGGCTGGACGCGGACCTATCGTATCTGGTGAGGCTAGTACCCTTTACCATCCTATTTTCGACAGATCTTTGTTCAACACCAGCAGTTGTGGCCTTTTGATGGTGGCAAGACTCACCTGGATCCCAGTTTGACCGTCGAATCGAGTTGTCGAGTTACTGCTACTGCTACTGCTACATGTATCGTCTAAGGGATCGAAACACTTGCTTGTCGGGTTTGGGTCGAACGACTTGAGACAAGTGCCACGGACACTTCGACTTTTCTCCGACGTAATTCATACACGGTCATGGTTGCTGACACGGGTTGTTGCAGGTGGGCGCGGGCATCGCATTTCACCACTCGGGGTTGGTGGTAGAAGAACGAAGCATCCTCGAGGAGGCCTTCAAGCAGGGATCCATCAGGTGGGCGAAGTATGATGCTTTTGCTGCCAAGGCCCCGAACCTCTCACCGATACTGTATACTGTATACTGACTACTGTATCATATCGATAGCGAACCACCGACGGCGGCGTCGCGTCTGCCGATTGCGCAGTTTCCATTTTTTATATTCGTTGTTGTTGTCGTTGTTGTTGTTGTTGTTGTTGTTGTTGTTGTTGTTGTTGTTGTTGTTGTTTCCCACAATAGCTCGTCTACATACAAGTAGCTCTCTCCAGAAGGGTGGGAGAGTCTTAAGAAGCAAGATACGTTAAATAGATTGTTTGCGCTGTCCTCGGTCGATCCGGAGGTACAGTACTACACTGGAACCCGAAGTACCTTCCCGTGACTGACGTACCACGGGGCAATGGGCGATGGGCGATGGGCGATGGGCGATGGGCGATGGGCGATGGGCGATGGGCGATGGGCGATGGGCGATGGGCGATGTTTTTTGTCTTGGGTGTAGTGGTGTTGTGGACGAGGAGAGGAACGTCCTGCAAGCGTGGGACAGACAGGCAGGCCGGACCAGGAGTCGGACCCTCTGCTCGTCTTCCCCTTCTCATTCGATGGTGAACCCTCCAGTGAATCTGAACACGTAGGTGAAGCATCTCGTGCCGCCTGACCTCGCCCACCCGTCGCTATCGCTCTTCTGTCTTCGCGGCTCGTATTCATGCCACCATCCAATGCCTTCTAACCCCCAAATCTGCAGAGTTATCGTTGCGACGTCGACTCTAGCTGCGGGCGTCAACCTTCCTGCACATCGAGTCATCATACGGTCTCCTTCGGTCGGAATTGGCCTGCTGGATTCCACGAGGTAAGAATGAAACTGAGACTGAGATTATGTCTGGAGAGATTGTATTGCACTTGATTCTTTGCCGTCTACGTCCACTGGTGGTACAGCAGTGTAGGTTCTGAGGAGCCTCGATCAATCCGGGGGTTCTCGATCAACCTCCTCCCCAACAGCCCCGAGAACGCTGCGCTTCTTACGCTGCAGTTGAATCCCTTGTTGACGACAAGAGGATCAGCAGCCGTACCCCTCGATGTGTATACCCGAAATAGGTTCGGCAGACTTATTTTGAGGCCTCTGTGTGCTATTTTCCCCGGAGCATGTCTGTGATGAGTCATGAGGAATCGACTTTCTAGCGGGCTGCAGGTTGTGATGTGATGTGATGTGAACACGAGTTAAAGGGGGGTAGAGGGGAGAACACATGAAACAATAAACCAAGCTGTGATGATCAGTTGTCTACGGTCTGATGAGCAGGGTTTTTTGTGAGGCAACTTGTTGCCGGCGGGTACTTCAACGTGTTGACTCTGTAGGCAGACTGCTGTATTCTTCCACTGTTTGGCGAGCTACTTTGACAAGCTGTCGTGTGGTGTGGTATTGTAGGAAAGCACGTTGTTTTTCACGCTCTTGCAAATGACAACAACCTTCCGAAGGACGCTAGACATTGCAGGGTTCAACCTCCAAAGCAGTGCATTGATCAGGCTCCCCAAATAAGAAGTAGAACTTAACCAAGGCGGAGTATTGGGTTTATCAAACTCGTCGCATCAGTACAAATAGCCAGTCTAGTCAGATACCTTCCATCTCCCATCCTACAACTCGATCGGGCAGGTATCACCAGATGGCAGGTCGCTCTGGACGTGCGGGAGTTTTAAGAGGAGAGGAAGGGGGCAAAGCGGTGCAAGGCGTCGATACGGCTCGCGGGGAGTCGTTCTTAATCTTACCGGTATGTCGTGGGTGGCACAGCAGTACGTGGGATGCACGAAATTATGTTGCACTCACTTTTTTCGTTCACGATGGCGGAAGAACGACTTATCTTCTATTGGGTTTGGTTCCAGTAGCCTTTTGATTTGCGACGTGTAGCTGAAGAGACCACGCCTCTTACCAGATGGCCTTAAAGACGTGGAGCATGTCTCGGTGCCGGCCGCTCTGGTATAGTATAGACGGGGTGTTGGTGGTGGTACGTGATGCATGCGATGCGATATGTATTAGGCGTCTGGAGAACAATATGCTGTGGAAGGGGCGTTGGATAGTTGGGATGCCATCTATCCTGTTTGAGGCCGTCGGATGCACTTGAGGAAGGTCTTGTGCATACGACGTTTTTTGTTGTCCTGACCAACCTGTCTGTGTTTTCCCCGCTGTTTTGTCGGCATCACGTGTGTTCCCGCGAAATCCAACAACCTCTTACTGTACACAGAAAAACGTCAAGTTCACGCTGTCGGATGCCTCCAAGCTGATTTCAGCACCCCTCCCCAAGCTCGAGTCGGCGTTGAGGGATGCCAAAGGCGGGGGACTAGAGAGAGCTCTGCTGGAAGTTATCGTTAGCAAGACTGTCACAAGCAAGGAAGGGGCTAGGAGGTGAGCGTCGGTTATCTTGGGCGGGTGTAGCAGGAGTTATTTGCCATCTAGTCGCGTCCCGTGTCTCAGACGAGGAACTCTTGGATGGCAAACATGTCCGGTCCAGTTGGTTTCGAGAGGATCTTTTTCTGTTGCACACAGCACAACTCGCAAGGTGACAAGGTGACGACAACAACCTCTCTGCCTCGCCCTCACATTGCTGTCGATATGTTTCAATGCGGGTGAGTATTTCGATGACATCATTGCTTTGGGGTTGTGGCGTGCTGGTCTACGCATTGCAAAGTCGTGCCGCTTCTTCGTCTCAGGTACCTCTTGTCTCTATGTACATGTGTACATGTCCGTCTGTACCCTTTCCTCCACCAGGTTTAGCTGCAAAACTCTTCTGGCGGCGCAGATTCCTGAGGACGAAGTGCTCAAGGCGTGCGATTCGGCCATGGCATACCTGCGAAAGCACAACTTCGTCGTCAAACAAGGAGGCGACAGCGTGGAGGGGTGCGCGGACTACGACGTAGCTCCCACGCAGCTTGGAAGGGTAGGCAAACACACGACGTTAGTAGACATTTCTGCTGCTATTGTTGTTTCGCTTGTCTTCTTTTCTACAAAGGAACGTTTATTAGTCGAACAGACCGAATAAAATGCCATTTATTGATGGAACTGTTTCGGATTGTAGTTTCATGAATTGCTCGAAAACCTGGGGTCACGAGGGGAAGAAATCGTATTTTGTTGTAATGTGTTGGGGCGTTGGCGTGTGTTTTTTTTCTACCAACATCTCCAGACTAGACCACACCATGAAAAACCTTTGTTGTGCATACCACCCATACCGCGTACCGTGCTATAGCGTTGTCCCCCTTCACAATCTATTCTGTTCTGTGCCGCGTCCTCTCCCACCGATCACGAAATCCGGCCGATGCACTTCCTTGCGTACAACTATGTATACAGTATGACAATGTTTGTACTGAACCACTGCTGTAAAGCTGCAAGCCCCGGTCAACCTTTTCCACTAGCCGTTTTTCCTCTTCCGTTTTCCCTTGACAAACCCCACTTTTCACCCTCTTTGCACGTAAAGTGTTTCCACGAGGCACGATGAACGAACAAGCCAAAGACAATCTCGCCGAAAACACGACGGGTACTAACCAAACAACCAAACAACCAAACGCCGCAATGCTCTTCTCTTTTCCCAGGCAACTTTCTTTTCGGGCCTGTCCCCCTCGGCAGCGGTGGACGTGTTCGAAAGCCTCGACAAAGCGTGCCAGAACTTCGCCGTGGCGAGCGATCTCCACGCCCTCGTCCTCGTAACGCCTCTGGACGGCATCGAGCCCAACTGGGGTCGATTCCGAGAGGAGTACTTGGCGTGCAGCAATGACGATCCCGTTCGCGTGGTCGGGGAGTTGGTGAGACAGACAGACAAAACACCCTCGCCGCCTTGCTTTGTTTTGTTTTTTCAAGACTATGGGTTGACCAATGGTCAGAATTTGGTAGGGGTATTCTATTCTGGAATGCTTCTGGTTCGCCTAGTTGGCAGGCAACCGGGTTTGTAGGTCACGGATAAGAGGATACCTTTCTAGGTGTTGATTGTGGTTTTTTGCGGGGAACCCTTATTTGGCACTAGTATGATATACATACTCCGCATGGGTGAGACCAGATGATGCATGATACCATGATAGATACTATCGAGTGCGGCACGAACAGATTGACGGCTTACAGTGTCTATTTTATCAGCCGACTGCGCGTGCTGCTAATGTTGTATATGGTGGCTCTGTTGTCAGCTTTAAGATGGTGATGACACGGCGTTTCGGATGACGAACGTTAGATACGTAAGTCTCAAGAGAGGGTTCTATTCGTGTACAAGGCTTCTGGTTGTCACATCGAAATAAAAAAGGAACTACGAAGCTCACACAGGACAATGCGCGAATCATAGTAAATGCGGAAAAGCTCCACGCTTAAAAGCTCGGAAGGGTTCGAGCACCAAACAAGAAGAAGTATCCAACTTGCCACGAAACTTGATAAGTTATCGACTTGTAGAATCTACGATCTAGGTCGAACCAAGGGCTAGAGTGTCCTGCTCATCTTGTTGTCCTTCCCTCTGTTCCCCTTCATGGGTAACGCCTTCCTACGCCTCGCAGATTGGCGTCGAGCTAGGAGTGCTTGTGGGTGCAGCTGGAAACACTGCACCCAAGTACGGGCAAAGGAATTTTGAAGTATCTCGCGGGTCCAACCACCACCGGATGGTGGACTTGCAGCCCTACCGTAGACTTTACGGTGCCATGCTTCTCCAGCAGGTACAGTATTCGTACAGCAACCAGCGCTTACTCATTTTGGTCTGAACGTTGTTTGACGTTTAAGTCAAGAAGAATACGCGTTACTCGCCCCAAGACAAGCGGCCGGACGAGACAAATTGGTAGTGGTTTCAACACCTGTGTTTTGTTGTTCGACCGGAGGCTTTACGATGCCTTTCCTATCCAGGAGTTGTCAATACTTTTCGTGTACAAGAAGCAGTAATTTGCAATGACGCGAGAAGTTGCAACGCTTCAGCTCCCGCCTGATGGTAGCAACGAACGATTCGAGACACCGCCGGGCCCGCCGAGAGAATGATCGATGACAACCGCTTCAAAACCAAAGACCCAACATAACTTCTGGGAAATATAGGTGCAGGTACGTGCATTCGAAAAGGTCTCTTTTGAAGGGGTCATTGTCTAATGTAAAAAAACGGGCTGTGAAAACTGACTGATGTGGGACAGCCTGGAGAGGTATTGGGCAGGATTGAGGATTGAGACCTATTACGGTCTTCTTGCGGACTAGATTGTTACGCTAGATGCGGTGCACCGTCAACCGGCTCGCCCTACAGCCAAACACCACGTACGACTAACTGTGTGGAGGTTGTTTGCTTGCTACGCGCTGCCGCAGCTGGCGCTGTTGCCGCCGTTCTGCTCCTGCTGTGTTTGATGCTTGGCACCCCGCTGAGAAGACAAAGAGGTTGAGTTTCCGGCCAAATCTTCTACAACGTGCCATCGCCCCCTCTTTTGGTGCAGGCAGTAGAGGAAGTGCCTGTCCGCAACATGGCCGGAAGGTTAGGTATTGAGAGGGGGGCTCTGCAGGCGTTGCAAAAGGAAGCGTCGGTGTTTTGCGGCATGGTCGTCTGTTTTTGCCGGCATCTTCAGTGGCACGAGCTGGCCAACGTCCTCTACAGCTTCCAGGTGAAGAGAAGAGTGGCATCAAGTGGGTGACAGGCAAGAGGCATGTAGTGGGGTTACAGTATGATGAATAACCTTCGCCTGCGTTGGACTGCGCAATACAATTTAAGCAGACGTGCCAGGACACAAAATGAGTCTGGCGACACAAAACTGTGTGCTGTTGCGTGTGTTGCAGTTGTCACAGCCTTCTTTTGTCCAACTCATACCTCGGGTCTTCCCGACGTTATCAACAACACCAAAATGCTGCCATGCCATGAAAGGCAGCGACATGAGCGCTGTGGGTCCCGTTGTCCCGCTGCCACGCACATCAAGCCAACGACTGTCGACCAACCGGATTTTGTTTTGGCATCCGACGCAGGACCGTCTTGGCTACAGCGCAAAGCCCGAGCTCCTTCCCCTTGTCCGCCTCAGCCGCGACCTGCCGCCTTTTCGTGCGAGGGCTCTTCTCAAAGCCGGCTACCCGTCTCCGCTAGAACTTGCCACCGCGGATGCTGCTCGCGTGGCTGACGTGCTGCTGCGCTGTGCGCCGTTCCGCAGCGCCGGGTGGGACGAGTCTGTGGTGAGTGCAAGGGGTTGATTGCTCAGGTGCATGGTGTGGTTGGTTACTGTGGAGACCTAAGCTGTACCAGGTGGCAGTGAAATAACGCATGTCCTACGTTTAGTGCAGGAGAGTAGTGATTGCAACGTAGAAGCATGCGCGCGTACTGCCTGCCGGATGCTGTGGCTCTATTTTGTAGCTCCAGTCGTCACCCTCGGTACTTCGTGTTTTGCAATATGCTCTCGAACGTACCACTCTTACCCTTCCTTGAGAAAAGCAATCATCCCTCTTGATCCTAAAGTTTTCGCCTGGTGGTCATCGACCCTAGTATCACATTGTTCGTACCTCTTGGATGTGTTATTAGTAGACGAACAAATCCTCCTGTTGGACGCCCGCCAACGTACACCCCTTCGCTTCGTTTTTTCCGAAAACGTTGGGCGTGTTGTCACCTCCACAGGAGCGGTACCGAGCGAAACAGGCCAGCCGCCTCGCGCAGAACGTCATTCATCTAGCGAGGGCCGAAGTTATGCGCCAAATTCACCGTCAGCTAGCAAGCACGACCACCCCGCCATAACGGGGTATTGGTAGCGCATACCAATGATCGTGTTGTGTTGAATTTCTTTATCGTTCAACCGAGAAAACGGGCACTGTTGTTGTTACGTTGATCCCGCCGTGGCCCCAGGAGTATCATCGTGGCGTGTCTTCCGATGGAGTGACGACATTCATTCATTCGTCCTTGTCAACCTGCAAGGGTGTTTTGATGGGGATATTTATGCACGTGGTGGTGCTCTCCAATCCTTCCCCAACAGTTTCCGACGCAACGCTGTGCCGAAGAGGAAACGGTACGCGTTGGACTTTGTTGGGGGAGCTAGTTATATCCATTGTCGCAAGCGCTCACGGTACTGTTGCTTGCGTTTTTGTCCTTTGGGGAGGTGTGTTTGGGTCGCGAATGCCTATGCGTAGTCCTAACCTTTTGCCGGCATTTGGCGTAAGGCCTTCTATGGGTAGTCGTGTTTGCCAACAGCTGCGAGGTATGGGTTGCAATACCAAGCGAATGCGACAATAGGGTCTTGGCAATCAATTCGTGATCCGATTGAAAAGAATGTGCCAGCCAGGTGTCAAACTCGGGACCAGCACCAAGGCGACTACTCTAAAGTCGTTTGAAAATTCTGAATATTTGTACCATCATCGTGGCTACGTTGCACGTCGTGTGCCCACTCTCGTGACAGCAGGGAACCTTGGAGGTTCCAATAGCAAGACAAACCATGCAAATTGTTCTGCAAAGAAAGCAGGTTTCCCTTGCTGTGTACGCACGTTAGCCCGTCATTATCAAGCGAATTTGTCTTGAGTCAAGCAATGAATGTGTATTATTATTAGCATCGACCGCGCTAACCGGCTGACCAATTAAAATACGTCAGTTGTTGTTGTTGTTGTCTTCACATCAAACCGTATGTCAGTTGCTAAATGCCAAAATCTAGCGAAAGACTCTCAGCCCGTGGTCACGAAAGTGCTAGAGCCATCTGAGGATCTAAGGAACACGCACACATGTAACGAGAAAAAGGTATCCAAGAGCCCGAAGAGGTACACCTAAATAAAAATCCCTGCAGCACCGTGTGCGTGCCCAACAACTGAACTGCAGGTCCGTCCCACCGTTCGACTACAGCAGTAGCATCACCCCCTCCCTGTCCCACTACTCTATACCAAAACGGAAGATTGCCGACCACTGCATACTGCTGTCTGAAGTGCTGTCTGTACAAAAACACCATGGTAGGCATGGAACAAGCAGCTGGCGGGGCACAAAGCTGCTGTCTGAAGTGCTGTCAGAATGTGTCTGCGGCCGTACAGTGAGAAAGAACAACCAACCAAACAAAGCCATCATAGATAGCAGCAATTATCAATCACCCGGATCTCTCCCGATCGTCTGTTCAGGCACTGCAGTGAAAAATATCGACACTAAAGTGGTAGTTTTCCTGGACCCGCCCACAGGCCACTTGATAAATTTCTCTCTAGGCCCTGGTTATTTACCCAACAAAATATACACCATTCGAAAGCTATGAACCAGGGCTTTCGAATGAATCCCTTTTTAGCTTTCACAGACACCTTGGTGACGAGTTATGCCGAATATACCGTTTCACCAAAAACGCGGCGGAACCGGTAAATTACGATTTGTCGTGCCCCCACCACCGCTGTGAAAAAAAAATATACTAGAGTATATGACACAACGAGTCCATCTCTATCATAGAAAAGAGTCAGAGACAGATTAACAATGGAATCATAGCGTCAGAGAAAACTACCTGTGTGTCTACGATTTCC